TTGTTGGGCTGGAACGACTATAATGGGAAAATCTTTATAACTTGACGTTTGATTCGGGACTTTCGTCTTCAAATTCAATTCGTAACTAGGTACTACAAAATTTAGGGTTGCTCAATCAGCATCCAAAACAAAACGTGAAAAACATGATCTGGCGTATTCAGGACTCAAAATGACTCCTCTGTTGTTTTGTTTTTACCATTTCAAAATCTGTGGAGAAAGCCGGCATGGAAAAAGTAATTATCAATCAAAAGAAAAGGAGAGAAAAAAAATGTAAAGATAGAACGACCATAAATTGTTAAAATGGAGAAAAATGAAAACAAAACGAAATTTATCATATCATGAGGAGCATTCTTAAATAAACCCATTGAAATCAAAGGATCAAATGAGTGATCCCAGCGATGACCGCATGTCAATAATATTTCTACTTTACAAAATATGAATATCTCATTCATGATAAAAAAGAAATCTTTCTCAGTTAACAAAACAGAAGCGAGATTTCTTAAAACACAAATTCGAGCCTGCTCACTCAGTTTGGTAGCACACGACAGAGCTGTTTTCTTTATAATTCAGAAAAAAATATTCTCGATCTTTCGATATTCGCTAAGTAAAGAAAAAATGAAACGTTTATTTAACTCGGATTCAATTTTGACCTTGATCATCCGGCGCGAAGAACCAAAACATATTTGCTAAGCTATAGACTATAGGCGCATTAAAAGTTTAACAAGTCATATTTTATTCAATTTAGTTTTTTTAGAAAGAAGAAAAACCCGATTCTTCCTTGAGATTTGCTTTCACCGTCGTGTTTTTATGTAAGACAGTTTGCTGTGAACAGCTTATGTTTGTCCAGGCTCGAGCTCATTACGCTTTGCAAGTGTGGCTCAAAGGGCGCCGACCACCAATTTTGAATAATTATTATGGAGTTGACAAATAGAACAAAAGGTCTCGAATCATTGAATTTTTTGTCGGACGCTTAAGCCCTATCGGCTGTGTTTCTTACATCTTTTAGAAAAAATGAAACAAAAAAATTTTAAAAAAAACAGCTCTCCCCACAACAAATTTAAACTAATCAAAAAGCTTTAGCCTGCTTTTGCTTGCACATTATTTGAATCAGTTAGCATATCGCAATGGCCTTGGACACAATTTTTGAGATTAAATTGCTGCGTGTGCTACGCTATTATAGAAGACTAAATTTTGCTAAGATTTATAGTTTCGATTATAAAAACAATAGAGAGTTTGAATTTAGCTTAACAACCCATAAGATTTCCGAGTGAAGGAAGTGTTGAGATTGTTCGTTTGTGGAGATAGCTATTAATCAGTTTTGGACTCAATTTTGGCGCCAAAATCGATGAGCAAACAAAACTTTCTTTTCTTTTCTCAATTAGTTCACGACAAATAAGTCAGTTTCTGCACTCTTTAACAAATTTTCGGCACTCTTTAACAAATTTTTGTTTTCGGCACTCTCTTACTTCGGCACTGTCTTACCCAACCGACTAAATTTTGCTAAGATTTATAGTTTCGATTATAAAAACAATAGAGAGTTTGAATTTAGCTTAACAACCCATAAGATTTCCGAGTGAAGGAAGTGTTGAGATTGTTCGTTTGTGGAGATAGCTATTAATCAGTTTTGTCTGACCTTGAACACATTCAACCCGTTGGAGCGATCGAACCATTGTTGTTGATCGATATTTATAGATCAATTGCTCATTTTTAATCTTTTTTTGTTAGTTTTCAGGTATACTATATTAACGTTTTTTCACAGTACCCATTAGTTTTTTTCCTTATCTGACTCACATTGTCAACTTATCTTAAAAGTTAGCTGCGTTTAGTTCTGCCGTAACTGTGAGAAGTAACAAGAAAAAGTTTTATAGGCTCCTTCTTTTTGTTCTGACCATTTGAAAATGGCAAGGATTTTTGTATTCCGATGTTTTAGTTTTTTTATTTTTGTTTTCCACGCAAAATCAGGTACCACAGTTGATCATCGGATTGGTTTGAGTGATATATCATATTAAAGCCCTTTTAATCGTGATTTGAACCACATTAAAACTTCCCAATTTTTTTTCTAGTGTCGAGAAAAACCGGTTTGAAGCTTTTGATTTTTTTAGTTTGAGCAATTAAAGTAAGCGAGCATGTTTACTACAGCTTAACTATGCCTAATTTAGCCCTACAAACTTAGTTTTAATCAAGTAAACTATTTTTTGGAGGTTTTGGAGGTTTTGGAGATCCACTTTGATTATTGTTTTTACAGGCTGCGGTTGAGACGAAAGAGTTTTTCATACTATTAAATCTCGCATTGTCATATATTTCAACGTGTCGTCCTATTCGAACTTAATGAATAGCTTGATCTCAAAATTGGAGCAAACAATTTTAATTTATATTGTATTTTTTAAATTTTTTTGAGCTGAGACTATCTATTTGATTAAATTCCTGCACAAGATATAAGTTTATAAATTTTCCTGGAAAAACGGCTCGCTGAATTCAAACATAAGAAAATAACTGCCTTCAATCATTTTTCGTTCATCTGTAGGGAATCGCAATTTGAACTTACGGCCCTGCTTTTGCGGCCCCTATGTGCTACTAGAAGTTTTTCTTGATGATACTAAGAGGGTAAAGTGAATTGTTTAAAATTGAACTGATATCAATTAATTGTCAATTAAGATTGTAGCAAATCATACCATTTAATTTTCGATCTGGCCTGTTGAATGAGAAAAAACACACAAAGTGCAAAAAGCTTACTTTCAATTAAATCATCAATACAAAACTCTATATATTATAGTTTATTTTCAGTTTAATCATATAATTGAAACTCACAAAAATCAGTACATTTTCTGTTTGTAAAATGTATATAGCCCGTATAAAATCTGTATACAATATGACAAGAATTCAATTGCGCTCAAAAATGTCGGTATTTTGTTGATAGTATGAGGCAAAGTATAACAGAAAAAAAGTATTTTTGATACCTAGAACCAAATAACTCAATTAAGTTAAGGTTCAATTGCAATAATTGAGTGCAATGTTTTGCAATCTAAGTTTTGCAAAGACGTTAATTTTCATGCAGCACAATTGAAGTGATGAAAGTTTTCAACAAAAATAATTGTCAGACCTTGATACAAGTATTGACTTTCTGAGTTGAATTTAAAAAAATGTTCTGCCAGTAACTTTTTTGTAACGATCTGGGGGTTCGTTAACGGCCGGTTTGGCCAAAACCTTTATCGAAAATATGCGCACTTTTAAAAATGATTTTTAATGCTGAACGCATAAACGTAACTTATATACGCTTGATAAATTGTCTTGCGCTCAAAGTCATTCCAAATTGAATTGAAGCAAACTAGGCTTATTGGTCACTTGAATTCTGAAGAGCTGACTGTGTGTGCTTTGCATAATGATAAAGTTTTAATTAACAAAACACTGAATGGTAGGAGTGGTTTGAGTGTTTTAGCTGAAATTGGAGTTTTTTTGAGCAAAATTTCTGATATGCTGATCCAATTGATCGCTGATCAAAGTTTCAGATAACTTCCTCAAAAGTCAATTTTTATCCCGAAACACTCAAACTGCTCATACCGCTCAATTGTTGAGTAGTTTTTGCAAACTAGATCATAAAAGGGTTTGCTTATTTCATGGCCCAAAAAAACAGCTACTAATACATATTACATCGGAGCTTCATGCATACCACAAAACCGCAACAAAAGCCAGAAAAAGACCTAAACTGTTTCAGAAAAAAGTTATGTCTTTTTTTTTTGTGTTTATAAAAATACACACTTTTTTCAACATTTATATAACAGTATATACCAAATTTTTGAACAAAAATGGGTTTTGTTACTTCTCGAATTGATTAACTCAAGTATGAAAAGAAATCAATTTCAATTTGTATGAAAGTTAAGCTCGAATGTTCTATTTTCAATTTTTTTTCTATTTGCGAGTTGGTCGCAATCTTAGTCTTGCCTTAGCGAATCCTTCATATGTAGAACAATTTACGCGATGAAATCAATTATTTTCAAAAATACTCCCCCTGTGATTGGGGGTTTGGAAGGTGTCAATTCGACCATAATATTCAGCAAAATAAGGCAAAATAGAAATTGAGTTATCATGATATATATAAAAAAGTTGTTTATGCTTGGCCAATTATCTTGCAAACAATCTTGCGCTCAACATTATAAATTGAGTCGAGGTAAACTAAGCATAAAGTGACTTCAAATTCCAAGAGTTGGTTGCATGGGCCCTCCAACATATACACCCTTTCAAGATAAAAAAACTACTTAAATTTGAGCGGTAGCCAATCAATGTCTTGAAAACACGCTCACCTCAAAACTGCTTAAGCTTTGAGTAGTTTTTTTGAAACATGATCCTGAAAAAGTGTATTTGTTGCTGGGCACACAGAACCAGCTCCTTCATCAGAAATTCATACACACCACAATTTCGAAGAATAGCTCAAAAGTTAACTTAAATGATCAAGGGTCCACAATATAACTGTCAAGATTGGTTGCGCCTCTGAAAAATATATATTAAAACCTTTCTTCGAAAATTGCCCAAAAACCGCTCATTCTGAAGCAAGATTCTGAGCGCAATCGTCGTCAAAAACTGCTCAAACCGCTTATATCTTGGTTAAAATTGCGCCTAAAGTCTCGACTCGTGAAGTCTTGTAGTAACTTGTTTCAAAATCGAAAACTTTGTTTAGATTCACAAATAAAACTGTTTCACATGGTTTAATGGGTAGGCGGAACATTTGACAATAGGGTTTTGTTAGTTTACAGACTGTTAGTAGCATCCTGTTACGCCTAAAAATAGTCATTGTTTTTCTGATAAAAAAGGAAGTGTTCGCACTAGTTTTTGCTGACATATGCATGTTAACAAGTGTTCCTATTGAACTCATAACAATATGTTCCCGAATGCTCCAAGACCTGTGAAAAAGAAAACCAAGAACTGAACAACTTCTGTAGAAGCACAGAACAAAACTGTCTGCTTTCAATTACTGCTTTTTCTTCTCTTAATTTCCTTTTTCGAATATGCCGAGACCTTTTATTGTAGTTTTCCTTTATTCGTGCTTAATCGTCTTTTTTGCTGCATCTAAGAAAAATATACCGGATGTCACACAAAATTTGTACGACTCCGAGTTGGATACCAGAGAGGGCTCAGTGGCCTATCAATGCGGACAGGCGCCTCTTCTGGGAGCCCAAGAGTCCGCATTGCGAATTGTAGGAGGAGAACCTGTTTCTGAACGAGGACTTTACCCTTTCGTGGTCAACATTAAGATGGGTTGGACCCATGTGTGCGGTGGAGCACTGTACGACAAAGATACAGTCATTACTGCTGCTCATTGCTTCGATATTGCCACAAACACCAGAAAAATACAGTTGTTCTTTGCTGATTTGGACCAAAAGAAAGGTTACAAAATTGAGAAAGGGCAGGTGAAAAGATACGTGAAAACGGTAATCAAACATCCGATGTTCGGCAAAGAAGGCTGGAACTCGAATGACATCGCGATTATAAAACTGAAACAAGCGGTTCCCTTTAACGACATGATACAGCCTATTTGCCTGCCCAGTGTTAGTGTTCAGGGGGGCGAAAAAGCAATAACAATGGGATGGGGAAACACATTGGATGGCGGGAATGCAAACATCTTGAATTGGGTCGAGGTTCCCGTGATTCCAACAGAAACATGCAAATTGTGGATGGGAAAAATTGTTTTGGATGGCATGCTCTGTGCCGGATATGAAACGGGATCCAAAGACGCCTGCTATGGAGACTCCGGAAGTCCTCTGGTGCTGAGGAATGCAAACGGATTCTTCGAACTCATCGGAATTGTATCGTGGGGTATCGGATGCGCAGAGACAAGAAAACCGGGAGTTTACACTAATGTAACTCGCTATTCCAACTGGATCAGAGAGGCTTCTGGTGAACTGCAATACTGAAGATGAGAATTTATCAGAAGTCTAGAATATTAACCAGCGCGGAACTTCATATTGGGCTTTTTGGAAACTTAATGATCACTACTATTCCTACTAGGTTAAGTTTGTGTAACATCTAATGATAACTGCTATTCCTAAGATTCTGCAAATTCTTAGTTCAATGTTGATCTTAACCTTACTTGGCCCGGCTAAGTTGGCTGGATAATTTTTCGGCCGAATAAGTTTATGCATCTTCTCATTCATGATTGATCTTAATCTTACTATAAGATCTTATAAAAAAGTTTTGAAAAACGGTAATTTCGAAATTTTTATAATGATTTTCCCAAATTAGCCTAACTATGAAATTAGTTATGGAATTAGTTATGGTTAGTTATAGAATCTGTCTGTAATTGTAAAAACAAGAAGCTCTCATCCAAATGAAACCCCAAGTAGGTTGCAGTTTTCAGGTACAATAACAAAATGCCCAGCGGTTTGAACGAGATATTTGTTTCGGTAGCTATCAGGCAAGGTTTTTAAGTTTCAAGGCTGCCCCTCTTTCTAAAAACTAACACAACTAAAAACATTCTTAAGTAACGATGGTGACTGGTTAAAGAATTGAAGTTATTGGCGACGGGGTGCTAATAAAAGTTAAGATTTAGTGAAAATAGGGATAGATTTGTAAGGTTAATAGAAGCAATTAAAGACCAATTATCAATGTTGAGTAAAATATACCAAAACGTTTGGTTCATATGGCCAAAACTTGAGCTAGTAAAAACTTCAAAAAAGCCTCATTGTTCCAACAAAGACAAATTGTCACAGTATCACAAAACTGATAGGTAGTCGCACAGTGATATGATGAAGCGCTTCCCCCGTAAATCAAGTTTGAAAATATTTTAATTAAAAATATCTTGATGTGAGAAAAAAAACGATAATATTTTTTTAAGTTTTCGGATTGATTTACAACGGAACTAGATTTTGAGCTAAATCAAATGACATTAGACAGCAACTTAAATACAAGATTGTTGGTGTCAGGGCAAATCTCTGAATAATGCAACTGACCTTGATCGATTTCAATTCTATTTTTTCCTATCTTTTCTTACTAAAAAACTTCTGCGCAGAAGCTATGTTTCAATTGTACCTTTTTTTCAGCCAACTAGAGGCGAAATTTATTATCTCGGTCAACATGCTTCTCAGTCGAAAAAATCCTGGGTTGAATTCAATCGAAACGATTTTTCTTGATCAATCATAGTCGAAAAGATTTTTCTTGGTCAAAAAATTTCTCGGTCCAGAAAATGCTTCGGACCCATTCGGTCGAAACGTTTTTAATCGGTCGAACTCGGTCGAAATGTTTTTCCTCGGTCAAAAATGGTCGAAACGTTCATCCTCAGTCGAACACAGTCGAAGCATTGACAACTGGGTCCAGTCAGTCAAAACACAAATTGCAAGTCTTGACCCCCGATGAATGGCAACATACCTTTTTAGGTAGAACAATATCGCAACATATCTTTCTTGGGTCGCGCAAAGTCGCTCAATTTACTTCCGTAACCCAAAGTGGCAATATATCCATTTTCGGTCGCAATGGTCCTTTTTGAGTCGTGCAAAGTCACGTAAAAGTTCTTTGGTCGCACAGAGGGGCAACATACCCATTTTGAGTAGCAAAGGTCGCAACATACTGATTTGGGTTGCAATGGATGTAACATACCCATTTTGAGTCGCAATGGTTGCAAAATAAGTCACCGATCTCAACTCTAGTGCCGTTCTCTAGGGAATTTGAGTGCGGGGGTTAAATGTTCTCTAGGCAATTTTTGACTTTTTAATTAACCATTTTTGACAAAGTTTTTATATCAATCAAAAAATATTATTAACCTGAGTTTATTTTAAATATAAAGTTTTCACCTGTAATCGTTTTTAGTAAAATTATGGGGCTTAAAGATTGCCATTTTGGCCAATTTGGGACATTCAATGGTCAAAAGAATCTTATTTGCCATAATTGACTTGTTAATGGGAGCAAAATTGATCACTTGGTATTTTATATGGCGTGTAAGGGGATGATTTTCACAAAAAAATTTCAAATCTAAAAAAAATAATTTCATTTTTTTATATTGACTTTTTTCTTTATATTACTGCTCGATAGACCTTAAAGGCAGTCGGACCATTCAGGACTTCGCCCTGATATGAGCAGTTTTCTTATCAGTTTGTGCTCAGAATATCAAAAATGTTCAAATGATTCAGGAATTTCAACCGCGATTGGCTCGTTAAATAATCTTTTATGAAGCATGAAGAAAAATCTTTCGTCTTTTTCTTCAAAAGTTGAACAAAATCAAGCATGGCTAAAGTTCTGCTTGTAAAACGTGACTAATTTCATCTAAGTTCGCAAGAATATGTGCTCGACTTTTTGGTGAAAGCCATGGAATACATTTAGTTTTGTGTTTAGTTTATTCCGACTAATTTTTGTGAATAAAAAACCAGAAAGAGGGGTTTTCGTCCGAATAAGTTTATGCAACTTCTCATTCATGATTGATCTTAATCTTACTATAAGATCTTATAAAAAAGTTTTGAAAAAAACGGTAATTTCGAAATTTTTATAATGATTTTCCAAAATTAGTCTAACTATGAAATTAGTTATGGAATTAGTTATGGTTAGTTATAGAATCTGTCTGTAATTGTAAAAACAAGAAGTTCTCATCCAAATGAAACCCCAAGTAGGTTACAGTTTTCAGGTACAATAACAAAATGCCCAGCGGTTTGAACGAGATATTTGTTTCCGTAGCTATCAGGCAAGGTTTTTAAGTTTCAAGGCTGCCCCTCTTTCTAAAAACTAACACAACTAAAAACATTCTTAAGTAACGATGGTGACTGGTTAAAGAATTGAAGTTATTGGCGACGGGGTGCTATTAAAAGTTAAGATTTAGTGAAAATAGGGATAGATTTGTAAGGTTAATAGAAGCAATTAAAGACCAATTATCAATGTTGAGTAAAATATACCAAAACGTTTGGTTCATATATCAAAACTTGAGCTAGTAAAAACTTCAAAAAAGCCTCATTGTTCCAACAAAGACAAATTGTCACAGTATCACAAAACTGATAGGTAGTCGCACAGTGATATGATGAAGCGCTTCCCCCGTAAATCAAGTTTGAAAATATTTTAATTAAAAATATCTTGATGTGAGAAAAAAAACGATAATATTTTTTTAAGTTTTCGGATTGATTTACAACGGAACTAGATTTTGAGCTAAATCAAATGACATTAGACAGCAACTTAAATACAAGATTGTTGGTGTCAGGGCAAATCTCTGAATAATGCAACTGACCTTGATCGATTTCAATTCTATTTTTTCCTATCTTTTCTTACTAAAAAACTTCTGCGCAGAAGCTATGTTTCAATTGTACCTTTTTTTCAGCCAACTAGAGGCGAAATTTGTTATCTCGGTCA